CATGAAAAATACAGCATACATCAAAGCACAAAACAGAATACAATGGCAAGCTAGCAATTATAGTAACAACACAAAACAACACCTCCAGAAAAACAAAACATACATCAAGAGGCATAGCATGAAACATAACAGGACAAACACAATACTGTTTATACAAACACCAACGCAATCAACATCCCCATAACCCCACGGTTATACCAGGGCAAACCCAGAACCATACACAACAGGCCTCAACGTCTAACCTTCTCGCACCGAACCCCGATCCTAAGTCCAGCTTAGGAGCAGAACTCCTAACATTTGCCCAAATCCAATTTCCAGACAACCCGGTGCAGCTCCTGGGTTTCTGGAACTCACTCAGGAAGGACAATAGCTTGCCCCCTGTCCTCATGTCCGAGGACTCGCTTACCTACTTGTCTCCTAACATCTCAACAACCGCCGGCCAGGCCCAAGCACAACCCAACAACCCCAACCCAAGTACTCTCCGCCTCCAAGCCTCAACCAACGCCCAGGAGACACCAAACTCCCAGAACCACCCCGACCCTTCCACCTCGACAATCTGGCAAACACCCAGGTCAACCATTCCTACAGTAGTCCCAGACAGGATTATACTCAAAGCCCTCACAAGCTCCCTTGCCATAAAAAATCCTAGATGTAACATGCGTCTCACATACCGCAGTCCCACACCCTGCAGTTCTACACACCACTGTCTCAAGAGGCTCAGGACCGATACTGACAGCCGAGGCTCATCCCCTAAGGACAGAGTAAGGGGAAGCAGCCCCCCTAATTCTCCACCTACGAGTGACTCTAGCACTACAGACGTGGACGTCGTGGACAGTAGCGACAACGAAGACCCCTCAAAGGCACAGCAACGTGTGGGAAACCCCACCCAATCCCCTTCCAGAACCAGGAACATGATCCCTGGCTCAAATGAACTTACCCTCCACCTCCACACATATCAGAAGCCAAACCGAAGATAACAACACTAGCGCTCGAGCCAAACAAACACATACGACCCATAACCAATAATGGGGATCACAATTCTTCAAGTGAACATCAGACATTACTTCAACAACAGATACTTCCTCGCCCTGGAGGTGGCCAAACTTAACCCAGATATTATCTTACTCAATGAAACAGCTGCTAGACAGGACCAGCACATCTCTATTTGGGGATATTCCACCAAGGAAGTCAACAGGGGGATGCACAGTGGGGTGGCAATCCTAATAAAAAGAGGGCTCTCCTACCGCCTCATCCTCATAGAAGATGACCACTTTCTGGCAATAGAATTCACCGCCTCACACGGCCCTCTCATCGTCTGCACCGCATATCTACCACCTAGACTTGCCTACCTCCCCTCTATCCCTCTGAATAGGCTGCTCGATAGGAACCTCCCAACTATCATTGCAGGAGACCTGAATGCCCACCACCAGGCCTTATTCAACGCTCCTGCCAGACCAGACCTCAAGGGCAGGCAGCTCTTCCATTTAATGCAAAACCGGGACCTCTCCTTCCAAGGCCCCCACTTTAAGACGTTCTTTGCGGGCAACCAGAGAGGCACCCCTGACATAGTGCTGACAAACAGAGACTGTGACCTGCTCCACTGCAGAGTAACCACAGGCAAGAACGTGGGGTCGAACCACATCCCTGTGGTCACAACCCTCCAAGCAACCCCCTTCAAGTATGTGGCACCTCCCAGGCCCAGACTGGAAACCATGAGAACCCGGGACTATGACACCTTCCTCGCTGGCGACTCCATCATCGAGCTCGAAAACCTCCAAACCCAAACAATCGACCAAGCAGTAAACGCCATCCACAACCGCATGCAGCTCGCAACTGAGGCCACCTGTGAAAGATTCACCACAAGTACCTACCACCAATATAAACCGACCCGAGAAATCAGAGGCAAAATGAATGAGTACCAACGAGCCTGCCAAAGCCACTACCAAACTGGCCAGTCACCAGCGTTGACCCTACAAATACTCAGAAGGGAAACCATAGACCTAACACTGACTCACAAGAGTCACATTTGGGGAACCCTTGTGAGACAGGCCAACCAGTACAAAAGAGAGCCGGGAGCTTTCTGGGGTAAGATCAGACTGCTCCTGGGATCGGTTAACCCCAGCCTCACCCACCTCGTACACACATTCCTTGACGAAGATGACGAGGAACAACAAGAATAAATAGAAGACCCACAAGACCAGGCTGACCTCATGAGAGCAGTATGGAAGAAGACACACGGCAACAAACAGCAGAGCCTTCAACAACACTCATTCTGACCGTGTCAACCAATGGACAACAGAAAACGCCGCCTCCCTACACTGCACCCCCTTGATAGACCTGACAACACTAGAAGACGACCACCCTCTAACAAGACCCATAACTATGGTAGAGATGAGAGGAGTCATCAAAAGCATCTGAGAAAAGGCCCCAGGACCATCGGGGATTAAACAATGCAGATCAAACTCCTACCAGGCAATCTCCTGCAATCCATACTCAACCTATTCAATGCCATGCTGGAATCTGATTACATTCCTGTAGCTTTCAAGTCAGCCAAGATTCATTCCCAAACTCAAGAAAGACCCCCACCAACCTGGCAACTACCGTCCAATCTCCCTCTTAGACACAATGGGCAAATGCTTTGAAAAAATCATGTCAAACCGTCTCAACTACTACATGGAGGACAACAACCTCTTCACAGAAAAACAGTTTGGCTTTCGAGCACAAAGGTTAACCCAGCACGCAATAAACATCATCTACGATGCTGTAAGCTCAATTCGCAAGCAAAAACAGGTAGCTCTGATTACGACGAGAGACGTACACAAGGCCTTCGATAGCCTATGGCACGATGGTCTCGTGTATAAATAAGCAGACTTACTAGCGCAAACCTGGACCCTCCTCAGGCTGATCAGAAATTTCCTAAAGAACAGACAAGTTACCCCCAGCTTCAAGGCGAAAGAGGCAGCAGCCTTCACCCCAACAGCTGTAGTCCCCCAAGGATCATTCTTAAGTCCGGTTCTCTTCAACATCTTTGTAAATGACCTGCACCAACCAGAGTATAGGGACACCATTATCGTTCAATTTGCGGATGACGTAACACACGTAATAACATCTAACCCAAGCAGCCAAGCGGCCAAGCATGCAACTGTAACCCGTAAGGCAAACGTAGAACTAGCCAGGACTGCTAACTGGGAAAGGAAATGGAGGATCACCACTAACCCAGAAAAGATTCAATTAAGCACTGTCGGCTGTATGGCCTTCTCAATCGAAAATGAGGGGGGGGGGATAAGAATCAGGGGTGAACCCACAGTCATCTCAAATTCCAACACAGTGCTCGGATACAACTTCAACAGGCTACTCAACTCCTCCCAGTACGTATCCCAGAAGACAGCAATGGCCCGGGGTTCCCTGTCGAGGCTCTTCCTCTTCAGGCAAGCCCCATCCCACATCAAGCTCCACCTGTACAGAATGATCATAAGGCCTAGCCCGGAATACCCTTATGTCCTCCTGAATCTCACCAACAAATCCAACATGCTGAAGATCCAACGAGTACAAAATAAAGCACTTCCCTTTGCGGCGGGCCTGTCACTGATGGACAGGGTAAGAACTTACCAAATCCATGAGACGCTCAACATGATGCCAATGAACACCAAGCTCAGCTACCTGGCCAGAAGGCAGCTGTACCGCATGAAGCGCATGCATGTCCCAGACCCCGAAGATCCCTACGAAGCATCAACACCACCAGCGGCTACGAGATCCACGAATCACCACACAGAACCAGAAGAATCACTCTCCAACAAAAAGTAATCAGACACATCCATGATCAGGACTTTCCAAGACCTCAAATACTAAGGGGCCTGCCAGACGACCCAGATGAGTGGCCCATCCCAGACCCGATCTACACCCAATGAAGAATAAAGACAGAAATAATAATAATAATAATAATAATAATAATAATAATAATAATAATAATAATAAATAACTAAAAAAATAATAATAAATAAATAAAACTACTACAAAAAAATATAAAACCAAAATCCCTGATGTTGTTAAGATTAATCTCCTTCAGTCAACTCCATCGGCTCTAGGGCTTCAAAACACCAGCTAGGTCACAAACACTAGCCCCCCCCCCCCAGCCAATGTACTGACAACCCAACATAACACATACGCAAACAAACGACACACATATATGCCAACCCATGGTGGACAGGCCACCGAACTTTCAAACCTCCTCTCTCTCTACACCCGCATCCTCTTCCTGAATTTCATCTCCCCATCCCTCTACCTTCCCCATCTTTTCCAATCCCTTTGGACATCAAAGAAGAAGGGTGGGTATGTCATTAAATAAGGCAACATAGCCTAGGCTACTGCAATATGAGAGATGTTCCTGAGCTTTCCCTCCATGACTGATGGCTAATATTGCTATGTGAGGATGTATAAACTGTGGAGATAGAGATGACAAATAATGTTGGGAATAATTGGTGTTGATATTGAGAGTCAACAGAAATATTTTGAGGATGAAGAACCGAGAAGCGATCTGCTTCCTCCTTTATGCGGTGAGAAGAGAGAAGAGAGATTCATCACTTCACCTTAGCGAGCTGCTAAGCCATCCAGACAGTGAGTGGGTGTAATTCCTTCAATCCAACCCTGGTGGGTGGGTCAGCTGTATCGCATCGGCTTAGCATTTGCCAAAGGTTCCATGCAGCACAAAGCCAAGTGTACCTATCTTCCAGTGTGAGGACGACCATGCGTTCAACACGACCTACTACAAACTTCCACCTGCACCAGCGTCATTGCGTCCAGGATATATCTCGAAGTAACATGGATCAACGAGGTGAGGGGTGGAGGGTGTTGATGTCGTAGGTGTGAAAGATCTCAGCATGGATGATTTTATTCTAAGTGAACATGTTGGCATCATGACTCTTGGCACGTCTAATGCTGGGTGAGTTTTGATGGCGGAGGTGACGTTCATGACGTTCATTATAGTTCATGACGTTGTTGATCTAAGGTTCGTTTGGCGCACGACTGTAGAATTCTTTGATGGAAGAAAGAGTAATAGAGTCCATTGCTTCAGAGTCAACAGGAACTGGTGGATATGGAGAGAGGATAGGCAGTTCGGGATAGTGAGCAGATGCTTGAGGTGAAGATGCATAAGAGGAGTTGACGACATCAACTGGGTCGTCATCAGATGACTGACTGCACGTTCCGGACTCAGGCGTAGCTGGAGGATCTGGAACAGATTCATCAGGTGCAGAAGAAAAAGCAGTAGATTCAAGAGGCAATTGGTCAGAAGTCGATTGCTGTGGTTGTGAGGCAGTACACAAGAGATCAGCGAGTGCCGCTGGAGCGACGGTGATGCCAGAAGCTGAAGTGGTAGTAGTAGCTGAAGCTAAAATAGTGTGGAGTTCCTCTGGACCAGTGAATGTCGGGAGGTCATTTGCTACATACAGTATAGGCAGAGTTGGCCCGAATTCCTTGTAGTTTGGGCCTGCAATCTGCTTAGGCAGGTGCATGAGTTCGTATACTGTACTGTTGACGATGTTGGAAGCAGGCACCTGGTGTGGTGAAGGCTGGCTCAATGATTGGCCAGAGGGAGGTGGTGGCAGCTGAGTCGATGAGTAGACGGACGCCTGGGAGCTGGGCCCCCACATTGGTTTGCAGACTGCACGATAGCTCCTTTTCCGCCCAGAAGCTCCGGGAAGCTCCTTGACTGTTGGCAGCTTGACCGTTGAAAGTTGTTGGTGCACTGCGAGTGGTGTTGGCCTGCCTAGTGTCAGACATCTTGATTTCGGCAATTCGTGTAGGGGCAATCAGCTGAGACGGCAGTTGCTTCACCAGAGCAGTGAATGTAGTGAAGGTATTCGGCATCACAGTCCTTGAAGTGGTGGTTTTCGGCTCACTTGCGGCACCGTTGGTTCTGGAGAGTTCACGTCTTCATGAAGAGATCATAGCTGTGGCACTTGTAACATTGAAGAAATCGGTAGCAGTGTTCTTTTGTGATCTGGTGAGGTGTGCTAGCAATGCCAAAGCATCGAGAGCCGTTGTCAGCTTCCAAAGTAGCTTCCTTGATTTATTCATATGTGCTTTAAATGTACATATGAATAGAATCAAAGAAAATTGATAATAATTGATGTGATAATTTTTATCACAGTTTCCTGTGATTTATTCATTTGTACTTTAAATGACAGTGAAATATAAATAATCAGATGAAGGATATTGTTGATATTCATGGTGAAACTTGTGAAGATAAATTGATATGTGTATATCAATATATAGGTCACAGTGAGTAAGAAATAACAGATTAATTTGTGATTATTTCTAGGAGACTAGGGGGCCAGATTCACAAAGCAGTTATTAAACTACTTAAGAAAGTTGTCGTTCTTGCCATCGTCATGGCGATGGTAAATTAATGATAAATGCCTTCGTCGGGATTCAGGAAGGCATTTAAGAATGCCAATCTTCCTTAGAACACCGCCTCAATCTATGACACCTCCAGACTAGTTGTTGCTTTATGTAAACGGTATATAACTAGTTTGACTCGGCTACATAAACTCGAGGATCGAAATTTAAAAATATAGAAAATATTTCTGCTGGTGAGTCCCGTCAAGAAGTTCTTCCTGTTAGTTATATATGCATTCTCTGCTTGTAACGTAATAAATATGTCTTTTTATGAAATTATAATTAGATTTATTATAGCAAGATATTATTCCAGTAGATATTAGGTAAATAAACACTGGTGAACTTTAAATATGAGAGTAGGTGATGAATCTGGGTGGGACAGGAATGCTTGGCACCCTTCCTGGTGACTGTTGCTTGTTTCGTTGTTTGGCTGCTAAGATTGGAGGTTATTATTTGGGTGACATCATTCGCAAATTGAATAATGATGGTATCTCTATACTCTGCCTGAGGTAGGTAGGTAGGTAGGTCATAAATGGCCTCCTCACGGAGTCAAATGCAGTATTTGGAGCTTTCACAGAAACCCATGCAGGGGAATTGTTGGACAGTGAGATCTGGATTCCAGGATATAACCTATACAGGTGTGATAGGAAAATTAGGTCACATGGAGGAGTGGGTCTGTATATTAGGGAAGACCTTGTATGCTCGGAGCTCCTAAACGTTACAAATGAGGTGGTAGAGGTACTTGGATTAAAAATAGAGAAAATAAATTTAGTGATTATACTAATATACAAACCGCCAGATGCAACGGCTGAGGAATTCACAGAACAGATAAGCAAAATAGAGAATAGCCTTGATAATTTGGAGAACCCGATACCTGATATTATCTTCCTAGGTGACTTCAACTTGCCTAGTCTCAGGTGGAAAATAGCAAATAATAATATTATACCAGGAAATCTATCAGGACCTAACCAACCACAGATTAGAGAACTACTTAGATTCTGTGACAAATTTTCACTCAATCAGCAGATATCGGAGCCAACGAGAAATGAAAATATTCTAGATCTGGTCTTTACGAACAATGAAGACATTATCAGAGACATTACGATATCAGATACCACATACTCAGATCACAAACTCATTGAAGTGCAAACTACCATCAATACTCAGAATAGACCTAAAACGTTGATAAAGCGAGAGGGGCTATTCAGTAAATTCAATTTTAATAATAAAAGGATAGACTGGGAGATAATAAACAGGGAACTTACAAACATTCCATGGGGAACTGTTCTAAATAATACAAGTCCTACAGAAGGAATAGAAAAACTGACTTCAGAAGCGTATCAAGTCTGTCTGAAACATGTTCCTTTGAGGAAAGCCAGAAAGAGATCTAACGTAGAAAGAGAACGCAGACGACACTAAACGCAGGAAAAAAATAACGGAACTGCTTATGCAGACACGAATTTCCCGTCAAAGAAGGAATAATTTAAATAGGGAGATTGAAGAAATCGAGCGGAAATTGAAACACTCATATGAAACTGAAGAAAGGCAGTTAGAACAGAAAGCAATTCAGGAAATAAAGAAAAATACAAAATATTTCTTCTCATATGCGAAATCAAAAGCAAAAACCACAGCCAGTATTGGACCTATTCGTACAAGTGAAGGTTCATACACGGAGGATGACAAAGAAATTAGTGAAATCCTAACAAAGCTGTATGAGGACATGTTTAGCACTCCAATAAACAACATGAAGGTGGAAGATCCAGACAATTTCTTTATGCGGGATATTCAAACCCCTGTAAATATAACTGATATAAACACGAGCGCACTAAATTTTGAAAAAGAAATCGAAAACATGCCCATGCACTCGGCCCCAGGTCCAGACTCATGGAATTCAATATTTATAAAGAAATGCAAAGTGCCGGTAGCACAGGCACTCAGTATAGTGTGGAGGAAGAGCTTGGACACGGGGGAGATACCAGATGCACTTAAAGTAGCAGACATAGCCCCTCTACACAAGGGAGGGAGCAAAGCATTGGCAAAAAATTATAGACCAGTTGCACTAACATCGCACATCATAAAAGTATTAGAGAGAGTGATTAGGAGTCAGGTCACCAATTTCATGGAGACCAATGACCTACACAACCCAGGCCAACATGGATTTCGAGCGGGAAGATCGTGCCTCTCACAGCTACTTGAGCACTACGACAAAGTCACTGAGGCATTAGAAGAGAAACAGAATGCTGATGTGATATACACGGACTTCGCAAAGGCTTTCGATAAATGTGACCATGGCGTGATAGCACACAAAATGAAGTCAATGGGAATAACCGGTAAAGTAGGACGCTGGATACTCAGTTTTCTGTCAAACAGGACTCAGCGAGTAACTGTCAACCATATAAAATCTAGTCCAAGTGCAGTGAAAAGCTCTGTACCTCAGGGTACAGTCCTTGCACCGCTGCTTTTCCTTATTCTCATATCAGATATAGACAAAAATACAAGTCACAGCTTCGTATCATCCTTTGCAGATGACACATAAATCAGTATGAAAATTACCTCGGCTGAGGACATTGAAAAACTTCAAGCTGATATTAATAAAGTTTTCGACTGGGCATCAGAAAATAACATGATGTTTAACAGTGATAAATTCCAGGTACTCAGGTACGGTAAAAATGAGAACCTTAAACATAATACAGAGTACAAAACACAATCAAATGTACCCATAGTAGGAAAACAGCATGTAAAGGATTTGGGAATAATAATGTCTGACGACCTAACGTTTAAGGAGCATAACCAAGCAAATATTGCGACAGCCAGAAAAATGATCGGATGGATTACGAGAACTTTCAAATCCAGGGATCCCATCACAATGGTTGTACTCTTCAAGTCACTTGTGTTGTCCCGTCTTGAGTACTGCTCAGTACTCACTTCCCCCTTCAGAGCAGGAGAGATTGCTGAAATAGAGGGAATACAGAGAACATATACCGCACGCATAGATGCAATAAAGCACCTAAATTATTGGGATCGTCTCAAAGCCCTCCAAATGTACTCACTAGAAAGAAGACGAGAGAGATATCAAATAATATACACCTGGAAGATACTGGAGGGCCAAGTACCAAATCTACACAGTAAAATAACAACGTACTGGAGTGAACGACATGGAAGAAAATGTAGAATAGAACCAATGAAGAGCAGAGGTGCCATAGGCACAATCAGAGAACACTGTATAAACATCAGAGGTCCGCGGTTGTTCAACGTCCTCCCAGCAAGCATAAGAAATATTGCCGGAACAACCGTGGACATTTTCAAGAGGAAACTAGATTTATTCCTCCAAGGAGTGCCGGACCAACCGGGCTGTGGTGGGTATGTGGGCCTGCGGGCCGCTCCAAGCAACAGCCTGGTGGACCAAACTCTCACAAGTCGAGCCTGGCCTCGGGCCGGGCTTGGGGAGTAGAAGAACTCCCAGAACCCCATCAACCAGGTATCAACCAGGTCATTTACAAAATTACTGAAAGATAACCGGGCTCAGGGTCGACCTTTGTGGCACTCCAGCCACAATGTAAATAATGCCGCCGTCAGCCCATTGAAGCAAAGGGTGACTCGTCTGTTTTTCATAAAGTTCTTGACAAGACTGAGAAGAGTCCAGTTTTGGGCTGGTATGTCCACTAGCTTGTATACCACGTTGTCGTGCCATAGACTATCGAGGGACTTGTGACTCTCTAGTTGCAATCAAAACTATTTGTTTCTGATGGCGGATTGAGGAGGCCGTGTCGTATATAATGTTGATTGCATGCTGGGTTGAGCGGTGGGATCTAGAATCAAACTGCTTTTCAGTGAAGAAGTTGTTGTACTCTATATAGTAGTTGATTCTGTTGGATATTATTTTCTCGAAGCAATTGCCTATTATGTCGAGGAGGAAAATCGTGCGGTAGTTGCCTGGTTGGTGGGCGTCCTTTCATGGCTTCAGGATGAATATCATGTTAGCAGATGTTAAGGCCACAGGGATATGGCCCGATGCCAGCATTGCATTGGATATACTTAATAATAGGTGTAAGAGGTTTCCTGGAAGAAGTTGGATCTGTCTAACTCTTATTCACGAGGGCCCTTGAGCCCTGTTTCAGATTTTCTTGATTATCCCTCTCATCTTGATCATTGTTAAGGGTCAAGTAAGCGGGTGTTCGGTTTGTAGGTTTGCAAGGTCGACTACCGGGTTACTGCTGATAAAGTCAGCATTCTCTGCGGTCCATTCATTGAC